GAACCCTGAAAAATAAACAGGTTCCATTAAAACAGCTCACTAAATTATAGTGTTTGTCAAATAAGCACATCTCTTTTTCAAGAAATGGATTAAAAATAGCTGATTAAAATAAATAATTTACTTTATTGAAGTAAAAGGCCTGGAAAGATTACTGTGCAGATTTACTTTTTCAAAATTCAAATGCATACTGAAATCTAAGCATACAACAGTAATCCCATACCAGAGTTTTCCAAATATATATAGAATTTTGTTTTAAAGGTACACAATTATCTGGAGAATAATTTCAGTTTAAAAACGTACCTACTTTTTTCTATAATTCAAACAGAAGACAATTCTGTGACATGATACTTCTGATTTTTTCATATTTTTCTCAGTGTATGAATACACTGTTTTTAAATTTGTTATCTCTAAATTCAACCTAGATCTGAAACATCGCAACAAGCAAATAAGTCCTCAGAATAGATAAATTTCCAGAAAAGAATTAACAGTGATAAGAACAGGAAATGCAAATAATATATATTTAAAAAAAAAATCCTGGTTTCTGTGAATGATTGAAGTTGAGGAGATTCAGTATCTACATGTCTGGTCCCCAAGTAATTGCAGTTACAGAGAGTCACTTAAAGAACATTTTAACATGCAGTATATTGCTCAAGCAAACTTCTCATTTACTTTTTGCCTCAGTGAATCATTATCTGGATACTGGGCTACCTAATTTCACTGCATTAATAGCAGAATAAAACTGAACTTTCATGAGGATGTGAATTCACTGTTAGTTTCCTCTTTGAACTAGTGAAGAATAACATTGAGGAAACTAAAGGACGAGGAAAGAACAGAAGTGACTCCATCTACTACAGCATAGTACACAGCACTGTATTTTAGTATCTTCTGAATGTTTAAGGGTAAATCTACTCTGTAGCCATATTGTACTCCTTTAAGTTTCAATTGCTAGTTCAGAGACTGTTTTTAAATGACTAGGTCAAGTCTTGATCTAGTTGCCGTTGCATTTTGTGCACTTTATACATCACAAGACCCTACAAGCTGTGACTGCCAATACAGTCAGTACAGTTGAATATTTGCTGAACTTGTTAAAGCAATGTAAACGTACCATGGAAGACTACCAGCACACTTCCTCAAGCGCTAAATTGTCATAAACTGGCACTATGTAGAAAGGGAGGAGGGCCTCACTCCCACTGCCTTCCTTTATAACAAAAATATAAATACCTTTTTTCACCACTTCTGGAAGTCCATCCACCTCATACTGCATATTCTCCTGTGAAAGCAAGTTTTGATGGAGATCATCCTTCCTTCTCTTTTTTGATAAAGCCTTTGGCATAGGGGATCTTGGTTCTCCACTAGCTTTCGGGGAGTCTTCATTTCTCCGCCTTTTACTTGAAAGCTTAGTAGTATCTTCCTTTGACTTCATGCCCTTGACTGACTGATCATCAGCTGTTCCCGAGGCATCTGAACTGGGCACAGGAGAGCTCACAGCATCACTCATTGGCTGTTTCAACTGACCACTCAACAAAGCGACTTGAGTTTTTAACATCTCATTTGCTTCTTCTAGCTTATAATATTTAACAATTAGAGAACAGTATTTCTCCAAGTTCTCATTTGCCTCTCTAGTTTTCACTTCTACAGACTCCTGCAATTCTTCCAGTTTTAACCTAGTTTCTTTTGCAATGGCATTCTCATCAGCACCTGTAAAGCAAAGTTATTGTTACTCATGCGTTACTTAAAAAAAGATGTATATACAGGAATTTATAATGCAAAGATCAAACAACTCTTAATTATGTATGTTCTATAACTATGCAACCATAATAAATAAGTGGAAATGTGTAACAAAATCAGTAGTATGTTACCTACAATATTTATTAAATAGGAAGCAAATACAAAATTTGAAAAGAGTCATTGATCAGTACACAGGAGAATATTTTCTCTATCATTTTTAACTTCTGAATAGTCAACTCTGTATCCTTAACTTTAAGCACATTTTACAAAGTATGAAGAGACCTGACAATGCATTTTGTGTCATGAAATGACTCACCCCTCCACCCCATCAAAAAAAAGGGGGCAAAGCATGAAAGTTGCAAAGATATTTGGGAATATTTGTTATTACAAAAAAAAAAAAATCCACTTCCTCATAAAGTCCCCTTTAGGCCCAGAAATGTAACAATAAAAATGTGTGTATATATAGAAGTTGCATAAGATTCTCAAAAGATGACTGACACATATTTCTCTTTGTACTTTTTCATGCCAATCAAGAATCCTTCTCTGTTTTAGAGCTGCTTACACAAGTGTACATTTTAGAGAAAAAATTCAAATTACTGTATTCTTAAGAAAGCAATAAGGTGCAGTTACAGTGGCAACCTCTGTAACTGAGTCAAGATTCAATTACATTTTTTCTTACACTTTGACATACTTAGATTTTTCTTCTTCAATAGCTCATCACGTTCCGCTATGTGTTTCTTCAACATTTCCTTTTCCTGTTCCATCTGTTTACAAGATTTCATCCACAGCTGCACTTTACTATGAGCAAATTCATTTTCTTTCTTTAGTTCAATTATACTGTTAATATTGTCAGCCTAGAAAATAAAAGACGTAGTTATAACACTGGAAACATAATTCTTCTGTCTAAGTACTACACCATGAAATAGAGCTCTAACTGCTATGCACTATTATTTGTAGGCCAAAGCTATAAGTAATTCTTATTTGCTTGTTTCTGTACAACTTAATTTTAGCAGCCTTTTAAAGTCATCTTTCTAGACAAGTACATACATGTAGATTAACTTAGCAGAGAAAAAGAATTCCAAAACCAATAGGAAGGCTGTTACTCTCTACAGTAACAGGCAGCAAATTGTGAATGTTCACGTCATTGACACTGTTCACAGTATGCAGACCTCCTATTCTATTATCAGTGAGAATGTTTGACAAATGGAGAATTACACTAGTTAATAATTTTAATGGGAATTATAAATAAGATGGAAATGATAAAGCTCTGGAGAATCAAAAGCAAAGTACCAAGGCTAATGTTTGAGACAGAACTTTAAAGTAATTTACAAAAAGTAAACAGGGACTGCAAAGTCACTGCATTCTGATCACATTATAATGAAGTTGCAATATTCAGTGTAGACACTGGATTACTATGTTTAGTAGCACATAAAACAATTATAAGTGATCTTGGTCATGGAATGCATTGCAGATTATTCTTAACTCCTTGATCAATAGTAACAATGTTTTCTGCACATGCTACTTTTTAATTAGTGAAACAAAGGTCAAGGCAAGATCAAACCAGAGTTTTGGAGCACTGATTTCCAATCATGCATTTATTTTGCTGCACTGTACCTTCCATCTGATGTAACTAGCAATACTTGCATGATTTTTCTTACCTTAATCTTCTGGAGTTCTCCTAACGTCTGATTAGCTTCTTTAAGAAAATTATTTAATTCCTCTTTATTTGACTTCAAATGCTCAATTTCCATTTTTTGTGAACTGATGAAATGCTCCAGTGAATTCATTTTATCTTGACAAGCCTGAATTTCTACTTCATTCTAAAAGAAGAAAGTGTGCCTAATTACTGTCATACTAAAAAAGGACACAATTATATTTTGAAGATATACTTAAGATCATGTTATAGCTTACAGGAATTTCATGGCAAATTTGCTTGATAAACTTTGAGGAATAATTGACTTAAATATACATTTCATGTACCAGAATCTTGCCTCTAAGATTTCTATCATTAGAAAGCCCTTATAATTTAACTTTATTTTAAAGATACTACACATTCATAGGAACTAAAATTAAGGTACGACTATAGCAAGTTGCTTATTGTGTCTTCCTGCTCCCAGTACATATTTTATGTCTCTGGGAATATAGGATTATGGCTATTTAGATACAGTACGGATAAAGCAAGTGCATTTAAAACATTTGACCTTATGTTCTTTGGCAGTTGATCTTTCCTCACCCTTCCCACTTAACTAGCCTTTTCCTTGACTAGGAAGCTACTCATTGAAACATACTTGAAACTCTGCTTTCTCCATGTGTACAGTCCTAGTAAAAATATATGTATTTAACACTGACCGAGTTGTGAAGTAAATTCATCTTTTTATATAGCAACTAGTAAAAGATGAATTCATTTCAGAACTCAGCTAGTTTTTATATTTTAGAAATACAGACACCAAAGAGTTTCCTTTGCAATTGTATCTGCAAACGTTTTTTTAAAGTATGTGGGCATTAAAGATTGAGGTAGAAAAGACTCACAGCACCATTCTTCTTATTGTCTGATTTACCTTTTGGTTTAGCTCTGTTAGAGCAGCCTGATGATCCTTCTCTGCTTGATGAAGTTTGTCTTGATATTCTAATATTTCTCTTATCATTTCACTCTCCTTTTCTTGGAACTCTTTCTGAACCATCCCCAAACTGTTACTCAGCTCATTTTTTTCTGATATAGCCAGATGCAGCTGAATCTATAAACAGAAATATCATATTTGGTATTTAAAATCTTATAAAAGAAGAATTTACCTATTAAACTGTTTGACTAGATATATGAAACATCTTTGAATAAAAAAAGACTCAGTAAGAAAAACATATCTAACTGAGTAAATAGACCATAATCACAGCTGAACATCGAAAAACAAGACAGCATGCAAAGGTGGGCCTTCTAAAAATAAACATCTTAATGTGACGGATATGTTGAATGCAACCTTGCCAACACTGCAGAACCATACTACACTGCTAAAACCAATATTTATATTTCTGAATGTATGTTTGCTTCCTCTGAAAGTAATTTCAGAAATTAAGAATCACTTATCATCTTAAAGATAATGAAACTTTCTAAGCATTTTCCTTTCTATCAAGGTACTACACATTCGTGCAGCTCTGTTGACCTCCATCCACCTACAATAGTTGAGAATTTGGTCTTGAACACAGAAATTTCTATTACTCATGCAGTGACTAACTTTGTTGTTTTCTGACTCTTCTTGAAGAAGCTGTATTTGTTCAGCAAGCTTCTTCCTTTCCATAGTAGATTCTTCCTTTAATTCGGAAATCTTCAGTTCAGTATTACGTAGTTTGACTTCCAACTCAGTACAACTTTCAGTCAGTTCATTTACCTGAAATTAAAATTTCCGTAATTATTAAAAAGAAAGTGTGACTTCTAAAGAATTTGATATGCAGCATGCAGATTTTAAGAAGGGTTACCTCATTCAGATAACTGGTTCAAGCCCAACCAATGGCCAAAACACATTAAAGCTATTTTCTCATGGCAGTTGTTGAATTGCTATTTCACTTCCTGTTGAGCTCCTGAACAACTGCTTCTTAATATAAAAACTCACTCACTTTTTACTAATTTGCCTTTCTTCTTTTTCTTCTAGAGGAAAAAGTATCCTACAATATACTCTATTACTTAAAGTTCTATGCCTACTTTCAAGCAATCTTTCCATTCTTCCTACCCTTGGGAGTGCTTTCCAGCTCTTAATTTTGAAAGCAACTCTTAACTGCATTGAAAAGAACATTTTAAAAATAGGATACTTACTGTAAATAGCTCCGATTAAAGTTATTTTAAGATATAATTTATTAAGGAAGTGGTAACCCCAGAGGACATCTTAATCTTCTTCACAACTTCACAACAACACAAATGGTATTACCTTTTTACACAAAGTGTTCTTTTCGGAAAGTGTAGATTCCAGTTCCTTCCCAAGGTCTTTATAAGATATTTTTAGAGCATCCAGGATATCCTGAAAACTTTCATTACTAGAAAAGCGTTGCCCCTTCAGCTTCAATTCAGTGATCAAATTCTCCAGCTCCTTCTTTTCCTGGTGCCAACATTCATGCTCATGCTCCATACGTGTCAACTGCAAAGAGAGCTGCTCTGCATCTTTGACTTGCTTTTGAAGAGCACCATTTTCTTGAATCTTTTCATCCAGTTTTTGCTTACAATCCATAAACTGTTCAACAAGTATGTCCTTTGAATGTTCTAATTTGATATTTTCACTTTTTATTTCCTCGCATTGTTGTAATAGCACTGCTCTATCTTGCTCAAGGTGAGTTACCTGATTAATTAAGTCTTCTTCTTTTGCTCTAGCAACAGCTTGCTCCTTGCAGGAAAATTCTAGTTTTTCATTTATATCTTTCAGTTCAGATTTCAGCAACATTACAGCATTTTCAAACTCACCCTTGATTTGCATCTTTTCTTTCTCTTTTTCTTCTAATATTTTTACTGTAGCCAAATTTGAAGACTCTAGTTCAAGGATCCTTTCTTGCTTTTCCTTTAAATTTTTAGCCAGACACTCTTTTTGTGAGCTGAGGGCATCAATTTCTAATTCTAAACATTTCGACCTATCAGCCATCTCTTCCATCTCAATTTTTAATGTTTCTGCTTCTGCTTTAGCGGTCTCTGATTGAACAAATGCATCTTCTAGATTTTCTTCTGACATCTGCAATTCTCTTTCAAGCCTCTCAATTTTGTCGAGAAGAGAATCAGCTTTCCTTTCACTTTCTTTCAGCTTCTCAGCTATGTGACGTTTCTTCTTCTCATCAGATTCAATTTTGACTTTCAGCTTCTCAATTCCGTATCTCATTTGATGTACTTCTTGCTGTACTGAGTTTAATCTGGCAGCAAGCTCGCCTTTTTCAATTAACAAACCTTCCAAAGATTTGTAGAGCTTGGAATTTTCCTTTTCTAAAGCATTTAATTTACTCTGCATCATTTCAGATTCTCTTACGTCCAAATCTTTTTCCTTGTTCAAATCTGCTGCTTGGCTTTGGTGAATGGTGAACGACTCTACATCTTTTTCCAAATTTTTCTGAAGATCATTTTCACTTGAAATCTGATTTACATCAGATTGTACAAACAGATTTGTTTCTGTCATCACTTCATCCCCTGACCTAATGAATTCAGTAACATTCTTTTTATTTGACTCTAGCTCTTTTAATTTCTCTTGTAGGTTCTGATACATTTTATCCCATTCTTTTTTATTTTCAGACAAAATATTTAGTTCTTGGCCAATATGATTTCTCTCAGTCGTGACTGCAGCAAGGTGCTCTTGAAGTCTACAAATAGTTTCTAGTTTAATTTCTCTGTCCCTTTCTAATTGCTGATATTTTGACTGAAGGATTTCAAAATCTTTCTCCATGGAAAAGACCTGGTTCACAATATTTACTTTCTCAGATTTTGTCCTCCTCAGTTCATTTTCCACTTCAATAAATCGCTCATGCCAGTCTTTGTTGGTCATTTCTACATCATCCAGTGTCTCTGTTGCTGTTACATTAGACAATCTAACTTTATATTCTTCCAGCTCAGACTTTACGTTGCCAAGTTCTTTTTCTAAAGACATTACTCTAAGAGATAATTGCTGCTTATCGACAGAAACAGATTCCAGTTTTTCTTTCATGTCACAATTTATTTTTTTAAGCAGCACAGCAGTTTCTTCTAGTTCTGCAAAAGCTGATCTCTGAGGAGTTAAGTGTGTATGCTGAAAGTCCAATGGCAAGTTTAATTCCTTGGCTTTCAGTAATAAATCAACATTCTTTCTGCTTTCCTCTGTCTCATAAATCAAATTCAGATTTTCAGCAATTTGCTGGTTTGTTTCAGTGCTTATTTGATTTTCAGAAAAATCCCCTGCACTCAAAAAACTACTAGTGCTGGAGAATGACAACACACTAGCACAGTCTGACACATTAACAATTTCTTCTGACAAATTTCTACATTCTTGTTCTCCACGCAACTTCTCAGTACAGTCTTCTAGAAATCTTCCTTCAATGGTCTCAGTTACATTTTCACACATGGATTTCGCTCTTATCGCCATTTTTTTGCAGGGGCTCCGCTCAGGTGTGTCGTTTCTCTGTGCTGCGTTTTCATTAGGCATTCTCAGTTCATAAAAGCTGTTGCTTTCTTGTTGGGGGTTCTGCAATTGTTAAGAATCAATAAATTAAAAAAAAAAGAATTTAAAAATATTTTTTCTAAGTATTAAAGCTCCTCTTCTTATGCAAAAAGAATGGACAGTATCCTTTTCAAATTTGTTATCTGCTTTCCAATTGAAATAATTTACAGCTACTTATGCATTTTTGCATCTTTGTCCAAAGTCTGTAAGGTACCAGGGAGAAAACTCAGCCAAGTTTACTGACAGACTAAGTGCAAAGATATCACATGCTTCCATATTTTGGGAATACAGCTGTCCCTCTGACAAAGCAGCAAACTATTACAATCACTAATCTAATATTTATTCACTAATCTAATATTTACTCACCTCTTCTTATTAGATACCAGAGAATCTCCAAAGGAGACAAAAGCAAATCCTCAAAAAATCCTTTTCTCAATTACCACTGTTGGTAAGAGCTGGACTTGCACTTAGCTCTGCCTGATGCTGTCATTCAAGACAACAAAAATGAATGACTCTGAAATCTCAAGTCTCCCAAGAAGACCTGGGACTACGGACAAGGACTAAACGATCTCTATTGAATACTTAAAAGATCTACAGCTATGGAGTATAGGGAACTATTTTTTATCTTTGTTGTTGTTGTCTATGTATCAGTGGGGATACTATCAGTGAATTCTGAACAACGCTAGATGTTAAATATTTTCTTCTGTGCAAGGAGCAGTTTCTCAGTGTTGCACAGTCAACCAGAATGGAGAGCTTCACTTGCTATGTCTAAGAGCCAAATTAAATTATCATTTCTGAGTCTCTGTTGACATCACACTGGAAGCCACCTGTAGAAGACCTAACGGCCAGAACTAGAATTCTTGCAAGCAGAAAAGAGTACTATGTCTCTGGTAGGCCACATCTGTGTGGTTTTTTTTCCCTTTTTTGTTTTTCCCCTCCTCCATCATTTGCTATTTTTAATACTCCCTACAATGCATAGGACAAAAGTCAAGAATGCTTTTTTCTTTCTCTAAAGAACTGCATTGCTTATGTGTGACAGTTTTAACAACATTTCATTTCATATATATCCACCTTTAGCTTTACTACAGAGCAAATGTTTTGCATAAAACTGATTTGCCATGGGAGCAATTACCTACCGTTTCAGCATCCGCACACAGCAGAGAACGAGAGCTCAAATCAAGGGCTTGCAGGTGGAACCTGGCTGCTTCTAGCTCCAAAGACAGATTTAAAGTTTGCCTCCTCTCTGCTGCCAGTTTGCACTCCATTTCCATACTCAGGTTACGCAGTTTCTGCTGCCATTCTTCATTGTCAGATATATTTTGCTGTTTGAGATGATCTATTTCTTTTCTTTCAGAGAGTATAATTTGCTTCAGCTCTTGTATTTCGTCCTTCTTCCTATCTTCCTGAAGGTGAAATTGGTCTTCAAGCACCTTAATGGACTTCTCATATGTCTGACACAGCATTTGAAGTTCTTCAACCCTACTCTCAAGATTAGCCTTTCCAGGGGTAACGGTCTTTTCTTCTTTTGCAGAGTCCAGTGTGGGATCATTACAAGGATTTTCCGCTAAAACTTTTCCTGCACCTTCTGGAATTATTTCTTCTAAACTATTTAACTGATTAATTTCCTCTGGCCATTTGTATATACCACTGTCGAAAGAACTATCAGTCTGACTTATTTTTATAAAAGAGGGGCTTTGAGAAAGATCAGGAAAAGAAATAGCAGCCTTAGTTTCAGCTAAATCCAGCTGTCCATCCCTCTGACTGGAAGATAAGAGCACTCTCATTGAATCCGTATTAGCATCGCTCAGACTTGTTGACAATGAAGAGTTTTCTGCCTTCAGTGTTTCAATACAGCACTGTAGCTCAGATATTTTTGACCTCATAGTGCAATGTTGTTCATATAGCACTTTATGCTCATTCTGTAAAGAGAAAAACTTCTCTCTTATCTCAGCAAAGTGCATTTTAACTTCGTTTCTGGATAACTTTAGGTCTTTGCATTCATATTCAGAACTATATCCAGCACCGCATTCTTTAAATTTGAAGGGTACTTGCTTATTATCAAAATATATCCCTCTATCACTATTATCACTCTGATCCATAAGTTCGTCAGGAAACATAGCTTTCTCATCTTTTAAATTTTTGTCTGCATTCATTATTTTCTCTTCCTCTTCAGTCATTTTATTAATAACTGTGATGCTATCAGTTTTTGAATCAGTAATTGCAGAAGTTAATACTAGGTTTTCAGTCTGTAATCTTTCACACATTTTCTCCAGCTCATTCAGCTTGCTTATTGTTACCTGCAAAGATGATGCCAGTTGGTCAGGATGATTTTCTCCAGAGGTCAATGCAGGGAAAAGCAATGAGTAACTTTCACTCATTCCTCTTCTATCACAATTCCGGATAGCAGTACCATAATTATACTCTAATGAGCGGCTACCTTCATCTAACCTTGCTGGCTGACAACCTGAAGTTTTATATTCTTTAACAGACAAGAGTTCCTCCTGCAATTTCTCCTTTTCCCTCTTACATTTCTCATGTTCTTCTTCCATTATTTTTAAAGCAGTCTCCAACTGCATTATTTGTAACCTGTAGTTTTCTGCAGAGGGACCTCGATCCTCAAAATCGATTTGAAGATGCTCGAGTTTTAGCTGAGTGTCCTTGTCTTCCACAGGGTTCCTCAGCTGTTCAGAAGTGAATCTCCTTTCATCACTGCAGCCACAAATTACAGGTTCACTTTTACTTTCTAGTCCCGTGACCAATTGCTCCTTCTCTTGAAATAAGGTATCATATTGCTCTTGCGTTTTACTCTGTGTTGCCCTGACGGTTAAAATTTCCTGTCTTAAACAGTCAAGCTCAACAGAAGGTATATTTTCGCTATGGGAAAATTCTGACTGTAGTTGTTGAAGTTCTTGAATTAAGTGTTTTTTTGTTTCTTCTGAGGCTAGTAGTTTACATAAGATGTCTTGATTCTCACTAAATATCTGTTTTCCTTGTTCTAATTTTGCTTTATTCTTCTCAGATTTATTTGTCTGCTCTCTTAAAATGCACATCATGTTCACATTTTTTTCTTCCATCAATTTGTACTTTGCTTGCAGAACAGTAAGCTCCTTTTCAGTTTCTTCAGATCTTGCTTCAATACATTCTCTTTCCTCTCTCTGTCTTCTAGACATTTCAGAAATTATTTCTTCTCTTTCCTTTAAGCTATTAGATATACTTTTATTTGCTTCAAGTAAAGTTATTTGTTCTTGCTCTAAAGTTCTGCTTAAATCCCTAAGGGCTCCATTTTCTTCAGTAAGTTTCTCAATTTCTTTGTTATAAGTGCAAATTACTGAAGACATGTCTTTTTTCTCTGAACTCCATGTTTCAGACATGAGCTCTAGCTGTCTTAATGAATCCTCAAGCAATTTATTATTGATCTTTAAATACTGAATCTCTGCTTGCCCGTTTTCTAATCTTTCATTCAGCATTTGTAGTTGCATCTCCTTTTCCTGAAGAGTAGCTAATGTTTTTTCAATAAAGTCCTGACGTGCTGAAATATCTACCTGCAAATTACTAATGTGCTGTTTAGCTTCTGTCACGAAGCTTTCATGCATCTTTTCTACATCAACTAACCTTTTTTGTGTTTCATCCTTGACTTGCAGTAAGTCTTCATACTGCTTCTTTTGTTCTGAATTCATCTGTTTTTGAGCCACCAATGAAACCTCAAGAGAAGAAATTTGATCTTTTAGGACGGTCAGATCCTTGTTTTCTTCTATTCCTAGAACAGCTTTTGCACATCTGTGCTCCTCAGTGATGGAGTTACTCATGGCGAGTTGTTGATCATCAAAAACAGCTTCATCCCGATTGTTTTGTAGAAGAACTTCTCCATCTTCTGTCATTTCTGGAACAGCCTTTGCTCCTACAAGACAACAAGTTCTCTCATGTTCGCCAAGGAGGCCATGGAAACATCGATCCCTTTGCAGTCCTTCACATGCTGCCAATTGTAACCTTCCTTCTAGTTCACTAACGTGGTTGGTGAGCTGGAATATTTTACAGGACATAGTTTCTATTTCTTTCAAGTACTTTTTATCAGAAAATTCTGCTCGCTGTTGTAGTTCATCATAAGCATTTTCCTTTGCTTCTAATTGCATGCTTTTACCATCTAACATGTCTCTGAGTTCTTTAATCTCTATCCTCCTCCTTTCTTTTTCAGTTTCCATTACTCTGAGTTTCTCACTATGTTCATTATTTTTGACTTGTTCACTTTGGAGCGAACTCTCCAAATCATTAATATGAGACAGCATGCCTTCTTTTTCAGACTTAAGTTTATTTATAAGATCATCACTTTCATTTTTCCACTGAGAAAAAGCAGCAGCCTCTTTTTTTAATTCTTCATATTCTCTCTCCTTGAATCCAAGGATGCTCTGAAAAGCTCCTGATTCTTCCTCCATTTTACTTATTTTACATTTTTGTTCTTTAATATAATTTTCTTTTTCCTTGAGCAGGTCTTGAGTAGAAGCTTGCTGCTTTTCCATGTCAGCTAAAGCTAATTTCAGCTTCTCCAAAGAAAGAGAGTTATCCTGCTTTTTACATTTCTCTTGTAGTAATTTTAATTCTGCTTCCTGAAATATATTCTTATCTGTAACAGAAAACATCATGAAATCCTTAATTTATTCAGATAAATGATGCAGCTAAATACAAAATATTTACTTTTAGGGACACTGCAGGAAAGACATTGACAAGAATTGCCAATCTTGGCAATTCTACTGACAACATTCTAGATGAAATTTTACTATTTACTTTTATTATCTTGAATTTTCACTATATTTCAAAGCATCTGCTTCAAGTTATTACATTGGATAAAAGGTTTTTTTAAAAAATCACCCACGGTTGTCTGAAACCATGTACTCATAGACATTGTTATCTTTCAGTTCTGCAGTTTCATACAAGCCTGTGCTTCAAACCAGTCCATCCAACAACAGTTATTTCTGCAAAATCAAATATGCAACTCACTTTTCATCTCTTCAGCAAAAATCTGGCTCTGTTTTAGAGACTGCTTTGTAGTTTTTAGCTCTTCTTCAAGTTGGTGGATTTCTCGCAATTTTTTTTCAAATTGACAATCAAGAAGATTTTTTTCCTTCTTCAATTCCTAAAAAAGTCCAAACAAGACCGTATCTAACATGAATTTCCAAGAAGATCAAATAATTCATCTCATTTAATCGAAAGAAAGGTATTCCACTACATCTCACTACGTGCTGGCCTTGATTCCTAAAAACTGTTTGAGAACACAAGCTGAACTTGACCTGCTCACAGCATCTGTGAGATGCTGCCAGTTGACAGAGTTAGGGTGTCCCTTGGATGTCCCATAACCTGTCCCAGCCAGATCAAGACACGACAGAACACAGTCTGGGATGTCTGAGTTGATGAACTGATGAGCTGATGAATGCTGCCTTCCCAAAGCCACAGAGGAAAAAAACCTCTGAGATGGCTGAAACAACACAGGCTGAATTTTGCCTGTTTACTGGTGTAGAGACAACTTTTCTTTTCATAGAATAACATCCTTGTGGCAATACTAGTCAAATTTTATTTAGAAACGCTTACTATTTCAAAGGGTTATTTCACCATTAAGAGTATTTTTTTTCCAAATAAATAGAGTGTTTTAAAAAAAGCAACAACATTGCATCTAGAAAGTTAAATAAAAGTTCTTTTAAGGAAACTAATCCTTTTTCTCCAAACTCCCGTGCTGGACGACAGATGGCATGGCAATGGCACAGCCCAACTGGAAACAGGCCGTCAATTATTCATCCGTTTACTACTAGCAGATGGGCAGCAGTTCACAGAAGCCAAGTTCAAGAAAAGGAAAGGTCTGTATGAGAAAAAAATTAAAAGCTTGCTGGCAGGGCAGGCTTGTGTTTGCAACAACATAAATAAATCACCCTGAAAACATGATTAAAATTGTCACTGTCACTAACAGTTACCTTTTCTTCTACTCATAGTCTCCCCTACACATAGTTTCAAAAATCCATTCACTCCACAATGTGCAAGTTTCAAGGAACAAAGTAACCTTGGATTATAACATTTTTTCAAAGAAGTCCAAGTGGCTGAACTTCCCACATTTAAAGCACCATATGCAGATGAAATACACATACATGAGCCTGCTAACCCGAAAATCTGTGATCTACAGACAGAAAAACAATCAAATTTGAGGAATTTAATAGCTGCAAGGTACAAAAGATTCAAAGACCACAAACAAGCAACATTCACCAAAAATGAACCCATAATGTAGTAAACTAAGCATCTGATAACAACAAGCTACCTGTGCATTTCCAAAGCATGAATAGGATCTCTCTGTTTTAAATCCACAAGAGATTCTGCTTAGTATAATGTTTCACTTAACTTAGGCATTCTATAATTGATCCTTAGAAAATAAAAAATCCAAATCCAGGCAAAACCCAGAACCTTTGTATACAGTTAGTACTGCCATCCACAAAGAAATGTTCAGGGAGCAGACATGGGAGCCATATGTTTATGAGCAGTGTGGGCCCAGAATGAACATTTTTCTGCAAGCGGTATTGGATTTAGCTGCACCATCAAAATGGATTACCATATAATAAGATGTCAGAATTGCTAAACTACTGACATGTCACCCCTGGAAATCTTAGAAGTCCTTGGACTAACCACATCCAGTATGCCTCAGAAACGTGTCTGCTTTCTGACTTTTTGGAGGACATTGATGTTGGTATACTGTAAGGATTGAAGGCAACACTGAATTAACCACTGGCAAAGCAACTTCTCCAATGGGTAGTTAAACCATTATTAGACTACAATTATTTTCCTTTAGTAAAGGAAGTGTCCAATGTCACTATCATTTTCTATCACTATAAACAAAAGCTACTGTAAACAAAATCTGCAAGACTTCTAAACAATACATGTTGTTTGCAACATATACATATATAACAATGGGGAAGGTGAGCCAGGGTCTAAGCTCTGCTACCATACACTACATTTTATCATGTGTGAGTCATAATATGGAGTGAAAACTGGAATGGCAGCAATCTCTTCAAATATTAGTTTCCTCCAGCTTCATCTTCTTTATAAATTTATTGCTCATGTTCTAACACAACAGCACTGTCACCAGCTGTCCAGCTCTCTGGCCAAGACAAACAAATATGAAGAAAAAAACTGGCCACAATTACAGCTTAGTAAGATGGCAACAATTTTGACAGATAAAACAAAGAAATTAAAGTACTTCCAGCTATTTACAGCAAAAAGGGTATCTCAACTAATCAAACACACTCTGACAGTGAGATCTCAGAAAACTCTAGCAATCAAAACTCACTCTGTAATTTCATTGCCAGAAAGGCATGAGCCCACACTTTTTCATATCATCTTACTCTTTTTACCTGAAAATAGGGAAAATTACATTGCCAATATGCAGAAGCTGGATAAATTACACCTGGCAAGTCACACAAGACAATGTAGAATTTAACAGCTAAAACTTTATATTATATATAAATTGCCAAAAAAAAAAAAAATAAAAAATAGGGCTTTCCTCCTTTGGATACATTTATAAAAACAAAAATTATCTGGATTAGTCTTATGATTGGAAGGCTTCGATTACATTTATTTGGTACATTAAATGTGCCAAGGACCACTGCTGGCACTGAGGCCAAGTGGCAAAGAGCAGCCCATATCTGTACCATTAAAATCTTCTACCTTTCAAAACAGGTGGCTTTAACCAAACTGCTTGCTGGGAACGGTCCCAGGCTCATGCTAACTCCCAAACTGTGCCTGGGAATTGTTTGAAAGAGTGCTAGTCAGCTGGGCCAAAGCTCAGCACTGTTCTAACAGTCTAACAATACAGGCAGTCATGGTAAAATACCTGCAAATGGCCCCAACACTGGAATTTACCCATGTAGACATAGCTACTGAGACTGAAGTTTCATATGCCAAAGTATATGAAAGCTGTATTCTAGCTCTGAATCAAAACTTTTGTGGCCAGATAACATATGTGTGTGGCCTATTCAGAACCCACTACATTGGTTTAAGTTTGTTCCTGAAATTTTGTAGACAGGCATTGGCAGAAATTATACCATATATAAAGAGTATTGTAAGAAAAAATAAAAAAAACCCGTGACATAGCTTCCATACCCAACAAAGCTTATTTCTTTTCTACCTCTGCTCCTAAATAAAGGAAAAATATTAACTGAGAGAGGTTTTTTAGTGACATATCTGTAATGATTTCAAATGCGGCTGATCTGATTGCTACCAAAGCAAAACAAATATAACTGAGAAGACCGAGGATACAAAGTAGAAAAGATTTATCCATGAGTGAATGTGAGGTAGTATATCAGCATCCAAAGACCTCCGATTTTTCTTCATTTTGTGGGAAGCTTTTATAGTGGTATATATTTACTACATAATATTTCTTCTTAGAAAAATGCAAAGTTTTCAAAACCTGGATATGGTAAATGTCTGACTAAAAATCTTTGGGTTTGGTAGTATGCACTGAAAAAGCAGTCAATGGGTCTAGAATTTTCTTTTACAATCACATAGTACTTACATATTTTTATTTTAGGACTAATAGCTAAAATCTCTAGAAAAAAAAAATCAAGATAAGGCAAGTCCAACATGAACCAGAGCATTATCAACAGCATTGCTACGATAAACCCTAATCCTGTGGCCAATTCTGCAAATTGTGGAAGCCGACATGAAGTCAGTGAAAACCTTATTTCATGTGACAACTACAAAAACAGTATATTATTAAGATAGTCCCTAAAAGCGTTTAAAAACAACTCGTGGGTAAAATAGATTATTTGAGTAGGATAGCACTGTTTACAGATTGCCAATACAGGTTATTAATTATACCAGTTAGGCCTCTAAATTGTTTACCTCAAAGCTTCTTGTCAAATCAGTATCCTTGGCCTGGGTTGCTAATAAAGCCTGCTCTGCTCTGCACAGCTTCTGGGTGAGATCACTGGTATCACGTTCCAGGCGTTGTTTCACTGCCATTACCTGTAAGAATATTGAAAATTCACATTTTATTCACAGTCATATATAACTCTCTGTTTTTTAAACTCCTTTTTATGAACTCTACAATGCTATTACAAAATAAAACCAAATAATTGTATCCCATCCTAAACCTAAAATTGCTTTACTGCCGTTTAGAAAATAGCTTCTTATTGCCTATGCTCTCTTCTATCTCTGAACAGAAAAGCAGTATCTCTAACAATACCTACATCTTTAGGGTAATGGTCTGAAATTTTGGACTATTGCATCCAACTTTTAGCTACATCACCACACTGATATTTGTAGATTATAGATGAGATTTTTTTTGTTCAGATATGTGAATCTAAAAGTAAAGATCATAACTGTAACTATCACTCCAGTAACTTACTTTTTCAGCCCTGTCTAGACATATAATGCTACAGATTAGAAAGGAAGGGAATCCCATCAGTAAACTGAAATACATAGATATATGTATATATCTCTCTGTAGTCCGATGTCATTAAGTAACAGATTAGGCTCCTTGTAGGAAAAACAAGTCAACACCTGTTTTTTATACAAAATCAGTTTCTTCAAGTGAGCATAGGCAAAAGAACATGCATACAAAGAAACCTTCACTGGAACCACTTGATTGAATGCGTTCATACAGCTAAATTGTGGAAATAAAACAAGCCTAGAAGAGAGCAGTTTTAGAAATTCTATTTTATATTTCAGTACAGACTCAGTATTCCTAATCATTACAATAGAAAGCAATTTCTCAATAAAAAATGCTGTGTAGAGAAACAATGCTTTAATTGGAAAAATGGTTACAGAGCACTCTGATGTGGCTAATTACACAGCTTGTTTTCAGGTTCTTCCACCACCTGTTTACTTTTCTTCTTTTATCAAACTACACAATTTAATACTTTCATACTAACATTTCCCTGTTAAGGGGACTTCTTAATACAATGTTCAAAACATTGTTGAGCTATTTATGAATACAATTAGCTTGTGCTGCTTCATAACAGCTCTCATTTTTTGAGGCTTTATCACCTTCCTTTTCTTTTCTGGTCATCTTCTCTTTAGGCTTGTGCTGCTTTGCAGCTTCTCCCAGAACATGGTTAATGCAACTAATCTGATCTAATGGGCAGCTGCTGCCAAGATAGCAGACAACTTCCCTCATACACATGTCCTCCAATATATAATCCCTGATGATCTTCTGATTTTGTGGAAAGCCAGTTCAGGCGGTTAGACTGATGGAAAATTCTCGCGCCTGTGCATATATAATACTGCGTGCCTATATAAATATATACATATATTTCTACATCAGCTCTTTTACCAGCTCCCTGCAGGGTCATGTGAGTGGTAGTGCTGCTACAGAGGAAGGAAGCTGAGTGCACGGCCACAGGCTGTGCAATGAGGCTGTCCTTCCCATGGGCAGCTATTTGGCGGGGCAGCTTAGCTCTGCCCTCAAACTGCACCTCTGCTGGCAGAGCCAGCTCTGCTGTAAGGATATGGAGATGGGCCTTCTTCCTTCACTCCTCGAGGTATCATCTTCAAGGGCTGTCTGTGAAAGACACTTTCTACCTTCCAAGCAGACCAGTCCTTACTAGGTGACCTTCCACCTGGCTTCCAGCCTCTGCGGCCTTTCTGTATAAAGTATCAACTATAGCTACTCCCCACTTTTCTCCAACACATTTTAGTTATACTGTTCTTCATGTTGTATATTTCCTCCCCTCTGGGAAGTGGACTAGTCCCAACACTTTTACACCCTGTAATTCACATTTGAATACATAGTAATTCAGTGAGAAATGGCAAAAAATGCAGTAATACAAACAGTACAAAACATTACTCTAAGTCCCCTCATTGATTTCACATAAAGCAGTTGATTATTAAGTTAAGACAGTGCTGATCAGACCATTAAGTCACAAATGTCGGAAGGATTTTAACACAAAAAGCCTACTTTGTCCAATTCTGCCCGCAGCGCGCTGAACTCATTTTTGGCTTGCTGAAGCTCCTGGGTCAGTTTGCTCTTCATCTGATTGCACTGCTGATCCAGTGTTTGTAAGGAACGTTGTTGACAGGATAGTTCCTAGAAAATGATGGTATGTTAGAACAGAAATGACCATCTAACTGCAATAATTATTTATTTTGGTTACTGTAGCTATAACAAATCATATTCATTAGCTAATACTGACTGTCCAGAGAAACCTCTCCTGTATAATTAAGTTTAAAACAACAGTCATGCACAGTGCAAATTTGATGAGGGTAAGAATGGTTCTAACCCAATTTATGTCATCTGCTTAAAAACCTCCATCATAGAAACATTCACAGAACGGGAAAAAACATATAAAGCAAGAAAGTAATAAAATTAACATTTTTCAGCTCAAGAATAATCTTCCATATATGAATTATACAGATATGTCATCTGCTTAAAAACCTCCATCACAGAAACATTCACAGAACGGGAAAAAATATATAAAGCAAGAAAGTAATGAAATTAACATTTTTCAGCTCAAGGATAATCTTCCATATATGAATTATGCAGAAAAAAAATAACAAATTCATCTCTTCTTTGCTGTTCCATACCACCATTTCCAGACATAAGTTGATTTTTTTCAAGAAAACAAAACAAACAGAAAACCAGAAATTTCTTAAAATAATAATGCAGCATGGGACTGAGCAATAAGAATAACTAAAATGGCATTCATGAAATCTTGATTTAAAAAACAAACCAACAAACAAAAAAAAACCCAAAACTCCACACAAAGCACATCTGCAATCTCTACATGAATGTGGATCATACAAGATGCCATATAAACATACCAGCTGCACTTGGCAATGCTCAAGAGGTTTGTTCCTATGCCTTCTTCCAAAGCATTCCAATAGTTATTTCTAAAATGTAGGGACTGATCCTACCTTCTAAGTTATATCTTACACAGCAGTTAAAAACCACAAGGACTTTATTATTACTATTTTTATTTTTTTGAAACAAGTCCTCAGGATGGAAAAAACAAACAAACAAAAAACCCCCACACTTTATATATTCAAAAATTAGCTATCCACTTCAAGGATGGTAGTGGAGGCCCTTTCGACTATTAGCGCACACACACACAGTTCCAGAGTGAAGACCAGTATCTAAGATATCTGGAATGACCTGTCTTTCAAAGGAGCACGTCTCTCCACAGACTAAGGCAGCATTCTAAGTAATTAGCTTTTGACTGACACCTACATTTTGAATGTCTGAAATAAGGTAAGATGAATCCCACCTTCTGATTTTCAAGTTTGTATGGACAATTTAAACAGCAGGGCAAACTCCCAGCCAACCCCCAAATAAACAAAACACACACACACCAAAAACAAACAAACAAACAAAAACACATAAAAAGCCCCAAGTTATTCTTGCCTTACCTCTTGGTATTCCTTTTCCTTTGTTTTTATTTTCTGTTCTAAAGAGCAACGAGTACTTTCAGCATTTTGTCTTTGACAATTCAGTTCTTCTGACATTTTTTTCACCTTTTGCTCCATCATTTTGACCTAAAATAATTTAGTTATCAGTCACAAGTGTTAAAAATGCAAGTCTTGTTTTGTTTATATTTGTATGCTTTCATATAAAAAGCACTGATTTTTTACAGTTGTTTTGGCATTCAAATAACCTACACCATAACTTTGCCTGGCAACACATAAATTCTTAGTCATAGAAGGTAATAAACACATACTTGCTTATCATTTTAATATTAATCATCTTTATAAAGTGGGTGTCTTTGATGATGTCAGTTTGAGGACAAAGGCAGCAATTTCTTAAAGACCGTACTATATGTAACTGTTGTGCCCCAGATTTACTTGATCTGCTTGACAGTCTACAGAAATGTACTGTGTTTGACACCAAAACTAAATTATATTTTCACTACCTCGGCTTGGTAAGAATTAAATAATGTCCCCTAATTGCTAAACAACTAAATATTTAGACTTGGACTGTAACTGCATATTACATGGAATTTCACAGAGATTCAACTCACTGTTTCTGATAAGAAGGGAAAAAAAAGAAAAAAGCTATCTTAGTCTTCTTGAACAACAACATGGGAGTATAGGGGAATATTTTTTATTTAATTTTTAATTAAAAATATAAGTAGCCTTGGTTCTGGTTTAACCTCTATGTTGAAAGTACATCAGTGTGTTATCTAATTCATTTTATTAAATTAGCATTAGGCTAACTAGGAGAGTGAAGCCATGTCCAATTAATTACAGGAAAATAAAAATGTAATTTTGTTCCAAAAAAATCAATCACCAAATGCAAAGTATTCCCTATAAAGCTACAAAATACATAAGAAATAAAAATTATATTTTCCAGAGAGTGAGAAAAACTGGTCAAGGGTGAACAAGACTATATTTTTTTCTTGGCAACAAAGACCAAGAAGCTTGTGAGCTTAATGGAATAATGAAATATATGCCTAGGTAATAAGAAAGTAAGAAGTGGGTAGTAGTGATGAGTATGTAGCAGATGACAGGATTTTTGAGGTCCTACAAGATCACGTGGAAAATTATTTCCATTTGGAAGGGTAGCGAATCTGCAAATGTGATATTTAACACAGAGGAAATGCTGTGCTCATGGGTCCCTGATCATGCCACTGACACAGGAAGAAGTGCAGAAGGGAGGCTGCAAAATTAGATTTAGACTGCTAGGTAGAAAAATAAAGTCCAGAAACTCAACGCAGTTCAATACACAAGGAGTGAGGGGTAGGCAAAGGAAAAATCAAATAGGAAGGGGTATCTTTGAGATGTTAGGAGCGAAGGAACTTTCTGGGACAAGACCATGCTCTGCTGTACCTTGAGGATAGACTGCATTTTAATTTAAATGGAGACAGTCACTCCTACGTGTCCTTGTATTTCCCTATTTATATTCCTAACTATACAATCTTGCCCCTTCCTTGCCCTGGATTTGAAGCCCATTTGACTCCCCAGTAAAGCAATACAGCTCTCAAACCAGTAGACAATTAACCCTGTAAAATTAAGCAAATGATATTCAGTGGATTTAAGAAGTGGAATCAGGCCAAGGAATCAGATAAATGAAAAGAAACAGACGTTTTCAGAACAAGTGAGCTTGTAACCCGGGTCAGCTGCCTTTCCAACAAACTCACCATGATACGAGTGCCTTTACAGCACAATTTTACCTTACTCCCAGCCATCACCTCTCTAAAGCAGCAGACACAGCCAAGGCCAAATGTTCCTGTCCCTCCCAAAAGGCACGCTGATTAACCAGCACCGTGCAAAAGGGTATTTTTAAATGACCAATACCAAACTTTTAGGAAATAGCAGTTTTCCAATACATGTAGGGAGCAGGTAGAAACTTGCTGTCAAAGACAGAAACTTGCTTCTCCTTGAAAAGGGTATACACAGAAATACGTTTTTTCCTTTCTTGTAGATAACTAAAAGTAAATAAAGAGCAACATGGTAATGTGAAGATGATGAAGGGATCATTAGTTCTGTGTTCAATTTGCAAGTTGTAAAATACTGTGAAAAGAGGACTTTAGAAAGGTATGGCAATTGGACTAATTAGGAAAAAAAATATTAATAGTAATGTCACACATTTCAACAAAGTGATTATGAACACTGTCAATCTCTTTCTAATTGCATACTTGCAGGCAAAAATCTGATTCATTTCACACGCACGTGTATATATATGTACACACACCCACACCCTTTTGCCTTTTATTCCTTATTAGACAGTTTATCTATGTATGCAAACTACTTGGAACTAGGTCATGAAACCCCATTAAACTACACAAATTCTTCATCTTTAATAGCATTTTCAATTAGATTTTTGTTTTGTTTTTACAGAAGCAATTTAATATCCAAAGGCTATCTCCATGTAATACTGCAGTTTAGGAAACAGATACTAATTTTGAGCACAGGTTACACGGCAGAATCTATCTAAGGTCAGAATTTGCCACCAGATGTCATTGTTGCTCTATGCAACTTTATCAGAAAATATTTTTTAGAATTCTAGTAAATCTTGCCTGAGGGCCAGACCTGGAAGGTGAAAAATACTTACTCAGAGGTAGTAAGAACCTTCCAGAAAGTGGGCAACTGCTTAGAAGTATCTTCATTTATGCAAGTAGTATCCAAGTACTATACGCTTATCAAACCTCAGTCCTTAGGAAATGCTCACGCTTATCAAACCTCAGTCCTTAGGAAATGCTCACGCTTATCAAACCTCAGTCCTTAGGAAATGCTCAATAAACTTATCCAAGTACCTTGTTTTTTATTACAATGGCTGAAAATGATGCACATTGTATTAGGAATGAATTGTAACAAAAGCCAGAAGATGCCTAATGCAATATTTTACCTGTGCAGTAGCTTGGTCAAGTCGTGTTGTCAGTCTAGTGGCTTCATCTTTGTTTTTGTTCAGAATGTTATCCTTCTCTATTAATTCCAACCTCATTCTATCCAGCTGGAGCTGAATCTCTTGATGTTTATTCATATGGGTTTTCTTCTCTTTTTCGAGAACTTGCAGGTGTTGTTCTAGGTCTTTAACTTTGGAATTTAGCTCTGAATATTAAAAACAGTTAAGATCAAAGTAATTTCAGATATTGAAAGGTATTTCTTGCAAGGTATTTCTTCCAGGTGCTGAAACTTCATTTTAATATATTTAGTATGTTAGATAAGAATACAAGCCTCTGACAAATGCAGATACATTGTAAATTGTTCATCAAGAACAAACCAACATTTTTAATTTTCTCCTCTCCCACTATTACTATCTCAAGGGCTGAAATTATCAAGACTGAAATATAGTTGACTAAATCAGTCAGATTCACTTTGTGGTATCTCTGAATTAAGTTTTGCTGTATTCTAACACAAATGCTGCAAAGACAATTTGTTCCTGGGAATTTATAAAAAAATGGGGTTTTATGAAAATATGCAAAAACATTAAAAAATGTATATAATGACTGACTTAAAGTACTAAAGGCATCTACAAACATATACTTGGAGCAAAAGTGAGCCTCTGCTTGGAGGAGGCTTTGCAGCTATTGGCTATGTGGTGTTTCCACAGTATTTTACTTTAACCTCTTTCCTGCCCCTAAAGCGGTATAAAGACAAAACAGAACCAAGGGATGTTGTCATGATATACCTCAGTAACAATTTGCTTTCCAAACTCACAACAAAATTTTACAGAGGAAAGCAGTAGCCATTCTGCAGGAGTGTTATCAAGAATTGATATTATCTGATAATCGTTTTTATATATATAAAAAAATTCACTGGTGCTGAATTTATGTGGCTATGTACAAACTACAAAGGTGTAAGTCAGTCTTCTAATTTGAAAATTTGGCTTAGGCTTAAATCTTACATGTAGGGTGTACAGGAACTAGTAAAACAATCCTACAAGAAACAATTGGTGAAAAAGCTCGTCCAATGCAAGGTTTAATTTGCATTGATGAGCCATTTTTTCCTCATTTGATTATCCAATTTAGGGTAAAAATATTTCTGGATGTTAATGTGCATGAAATAAGATATTTCACTTAATCGCTTTATTTTAATACATCATCCTTACTGCAGCATCAGTGAGACTGAAGTGAGCTTCGATCAAGTAATATTTAACATATATTTCTCAGCTATAAACCTCAAGAGTCATACAAAATTAAGAAAACAATATAGTAAAACTTAACAGTGAGATGTAATGAAATCTTGAAGATTTTTAATGCATTTTTGAGGGAACAGTTCTATGAACAATGGAATTAATGAAGCCTGTTTCCCTAAAATTTATTTATATGATGACCAGTTATCCCACCCTAAAAATGTGACCTCCCCCTTTCTACCTTTCATACCTTTCAAACGATAGTAGAGTCTCCAAGTACTGGCTGGTCACTGATAATACACACACCAGCAGCCAGCTGGGCTCGCTGCCAAAGGAAACAGAATACTTTCTCTTTTCCTCACTAAGGCACCTATTTTGACACCTCTTTTCTGTCCAGACACAAGTTTCCATTAAATTATTTAGGAGATTGCCCTAGAGTTTTAAGGAAATATGTAAGATACCTTGATTCTGTGCTCTTAGCTGGTTGATGAGTGAAGAATTGTTACAATTCTCAGCAAAACTGTTGTTGAGCTCTTTCGTCTCTGATAACATATTAGAATTTGTTTCTTTTTCCCATGGAAAACAGGATGTTGCAGAACTTTTCCTTACAGGGGTTTCTAGATTTCTAGATGGTGTCTTTTCTTGTTGCCATGAAAACACAGATGAGGAAGCCTGATGCCGAGCGATCTCCCTGTGACTCAAATTGCTTTGAGGATAAGACTGATTAATTTTCTGTGACCAAGAAAAAAAAAAAAAGAGAGTGTCTATCTTTCCACAGCTCTGTGTCTGACAAATAACAAAATAATCTATTAATAAAGTTGAAAATGTCATGTGCCCAAGTCACTTTTTTATGGCAATACACATCATCCATCAGTGAAATTTACTGATTCATACCATCGCTTTTTGTGTTCCGTAAATTAACTAACATTAATCTAAACGTAGGCATCCAAGAATGATTAGTGAAGCTAAGTTTATCCGCAATGGTCAGAATCTCAAAGACAAGAGCCTTCATCTGTTTCTTTTTACTCAGATTTTTGTCTGTTTTGAAACTACTCCTATCACTTACTCCCGCTATCCTCATTCTACAGTTTTAAAAGTCCATGTCTAAGGCCATTCCTGACACATGCAAACTGCAAGAGACACACAAAGCCTCAAGTCCTGAAGGTTCCTTTTTATTCTTATACTTGATATCCAAATGCCTATCATCAAAATCATTTAAACTTAGGAAAAAAACAAAAGACAAACCAAAAAAAACTCTAAAGCCCTAGACCAGGTAGTACTGAGCCTGTCTTCTCAGCCTAAGGTGACAATTTGCTGTCATGTAGGAATGACTGTGCATTCAAAAAAAATGAGTGCCCTATTGCATTATATAGGCAGGGGAAAATATTATTTCTAAAATAACACTAGTTCTTAATTCTTGTCCTAAAAATTTCTTCTTGACCATTGCTGAACATGAAACTGAGATTCTCAGAGAAATAGACACAATAATTCCAGAATTGCTTTCTGGAATAGTTTCAGCAACTTATAATCCCAGCAACGCATACTAAACACATCCAGGCTCCAATTTTCCAGTTTTTTTACTTCACACTTTTTGACACTAAATTTTATTTACCATCTTACTGTCCTATTGCAATTGTTCAATATTGTGCAATCCTGCACAGTGTACAACCATGTCTTTCAGGTCATTGAACAGCACAGATCCTTGCACGACTGCAGTGATTAAGTTCCTAACTTTAAATCTGAATATTTATTTCTATCCATAATCTTTACTTTTCAGTTACCGAGAAGAACTCTCTCTATCAAAAGAGTTTAGGTTTCTATGAGGTTTTTGGAAATCCACTGACATTATATTGTCTGAATCACACTTAGTCATATGTTCTCTGACTCCCTAAAAACAAGAAGTCTGAAATGTGGGGCATGGTGCCTACTTAGGAATAACAATTGCTGGTTCTTTTTTTCCTCAGTATACCATATCTATACATGTATCAGCAAATGTATTTATTTTGGTTTCTACCTATTTGCCCAATAGAAAAAGAGTCTTACTAAACCACAGTTCCAGTAAACAGCACTTTAAGCCTTTCTAAAAACTGGTGTAACACTTGCCACCTAGTGCCAAGAGGAGACTGAAATAAGTTACACATCATAGTGATTCAGCAATGCCACATTGAAGTACCTTAAAAATTTATGGATAAATATTATCTATATCTAGTGATTTATTATAACTCATTTTATGAAGCTATTTTAATACTTCTGACTTTTCAAATTTGAGGCTGTGCCAGAGATTCAGCCCCCATAAAGAAAGGTTCTTTTATAGAAAATTGTTAAGGCTTTTGAATGGTAAATACCAAGTAAAAAATTGATTTAATCTTTTCTTCTACAGCCTTAGTTTCTTGTGGGCTCTTTTCACAGTTTAGTCATCTACTGGTCTCTGAGGTTCTCTAATAATGTTCCTACTCCTGATGCATTTGAAAAGTGTACTGGTTTTTATTTGATTGGGAAGTTTATTTGTCATCTTTTCAATTATATTTTATCATCCTTTTACATTTAGTTTCTCAAGACTGACATTCTGCTCTACTGTCCTTCCTTGGACAAGATTTCCAGCTTTTGGAAGATGGGTTTTCATTCTTAATGTCTTTCTTTACTTTGCTATTCAATTAGGCTGTCTTTTTTTGGATTCTCTATGATTATTATTGAACAGTAGCATACACTGATTAATTCTCTTTTAATTATAATTTAAGTAACGTAACATATATTTTACTAGGTATCTCTAGAAATTTGCATGGTAAATTCTGAACATCCTTCTCCCTTTTCCAAATTTGGTCAATGTTCCATTTTTTGGCCATCTCGCACACCATTTTAAAAAGAAAAAAAATTCTAACCTGCTGGATGATTCTCAGTTCTGCTTCTAGCTTTTTTCTTTCTTCTACCTCTTTATTGTATTTTTCTTCTAATTCTTCAAACTTAGCATCTACAAAACAAACAAACAAAAAACAAAAGAACACGACACACACATTTTATAATAAACTAGCTTAGTACGTAGGTAAACTTTTCTAGACTATTCTTCCTCACATAAAGATAGAAGGGATAAAAATGAAGAAGGAAAAGACAAGTAAATGAATTATCAGTAATTTAGGGACTCAAGTAAACGGATGAGAAATCTGAAACTTAATTTTAACAGTTGTATTTTCAGTCTAATATCAAGAAACTAAATCCAGAGTTTGTATATTTTAAAAATAAGCAATATACATACATATAATATGCATACATTCACATGTATATAAAATATTTTCTCACTAGTAGCTATTTAGCATTAAATATAAATATGTCTAAGAATCTTCAAAAAAAAAAAAGACAGACTTTGTTTGAGTTCTTTTCAAATGCAATAGAAACTCGACAAGAACTCATTTAGGATTCTGATGTAATTTTAAGAGGAATGTACTCGAAAAAGGACTTTGACTACTTGTTCTTGAAACAATTTCCTTTTCTTTGTGTATAATAAAACAACCCTAAATAATTCGAAAGGTAGAATGTTTTGTACCATCTGAAGTCAGTTAATCTACCTTTTAATGAAAAAAATTCAGCAACAATACTATTTGATATAGTTATTTTCATCAAATAATTATTGCAGGAGTAGCACACTTAGAAATTCTGAATTCTTGACATATTCACATTGAAATAAAAAGGAGTGCAATAAAATTCCTTGGATTTCCCATTAGAGTAAGTTTAGATAGCAAAACATATAGAATATTTAATCACATCAAGGAAATAACAGCTTGCTCAATATCGAACCTTATGAAAGTTCTTCAGTGCAGACAGTATAAGGAAGTTACAGAATAGTTCTTCAGTTACAGAATTTTTCTTTCCCTTTGCTAGTTCATTCAAATATTGCAAATCTGTTTAATATCCATATACAGAAGAGATGCTACAAAGTAGCTAGACAGGCTTTGCTGCAGTTTTGTAGACTAGTATGCAGAATGATAGTCTAATCCAAAAACAATCTCTTAGAAAAAGAACACAAACTATCTACTGAACTAAAGCACTTGTATGTGAAAACAGAAGGATATTTACTTTTCCTTATGTGAAAACAAAAACTGACACTTGCAACAGGCATTTTATTTTAAAAAGTTGTTATTATCTGTTGATTAATATTCCTATTATTACTCCATGTCCATTAATGTAGTGTGGAAAAGACGAAATGCTTGTCATAAATGTTAAATTTTTGCTAATAATTTTTAAACTCTGGACGTACGGTGTTTCGAACCAGGCACTGATAATAAAATACATAGGGACTAGGCAACAGAGAAAGAGTAATGTACAAAATTCCCCTACCATCTTTCAAGAAAACTGACATTTCAGTTAACTCTGTGCTAGGTGAAGAAAAATGAATTTACCTTTATGACTTTGAATTGGTGTAAAAGGAGCAGTAAAACTCTTCTGTGGGGTACCACTGAATGATAAGTCTCCTGCAATCTGTGTTTGCTGACTTTTCTCAAGCTCACTTTTGTACCTGTTATAGGAAAGAAGTAACGTCAGGAATTAGTTATGGAAACTAAGAGTTAATTATCTGTGTTAAGAACCTGAACCACACCACTACAAAAATTCTAAGAACAAGATTTAAGGATTAATTATGAATTAGACCTTCTAACCTGCAGGACATCAAAACATTTCCACAGTTAATTTTTAGTTATTATAACACTGAAAAATGAATAAAGATAAATTGATAATATTAATGTATTTAATCAGTTACATAGGACTCAAAACTAAATAATCTTGTAGAAGAACACTTAGAACAGTATGAGATCTTACCGTATGAATTCATACTCCAATTAAACACACTGAATTTAGTGTACAAAGTGCTAAAAGCTACTTTTTCAAAAAGTGCCTTTTGTAGAAACCTTACCACATGTTATTAGAGCTGATACTGTGCCTTGTGAAAAACAGGGGTCGGTCTTCCATGGAAATAGAAGAGCACACCATCTAGTCAGCAGATTTTTCTCATATACCATTTACGACACTACTACCAAAACCACCGCAGTCCACACTGCTATATGGCTAGAAGAGCTATTCCATGGAGTTGCATGTTAATCCATGGAAGCCACATAAGTTGTCTGAAGATTAGACATTAACTGTGGTCGATGGCAGGGTTGCTTTTGTTCCTGCCAAACGAGCACCTGCTGCCAGGGCTATCAGACTGAAGCCCACTGTCAGCGACTGCACAATTTTCCATCCCTTTCTCCCTTTTACAGATCAAAACCCATGAAAACATCTCTTACACTGAATTGCTAATTGCTATAAAATGGTAGATAATTAGTTTTCATTGTAAAACCAAAATGGAGCAAAATGTAAAAGCAAAGTGATTGTCAGTTGTTATGTGTAACTTGCTTCTGACAATCTTTGGTATGGGAAACTATGCAAGGTTATACAAAGAAAAGAAGAAAATTCAGTAAACCAGACTTCCTGCACAGCTTTAGGATTGATAAACATGTAGCCATAGTCTCTTTGACCCAGCCTTTAGAGTAGAAATAGGAAAGGTCATTATTTGAACTCTGTTGAGTTATATCCATATTATTACACGGATACTTCATTAATGGATCTCATCAATTTCTTGCACAAAGTTGGTGTTTCTAAGTATCTTAAGCTTATGTGTTGATGTTAAGAATCTTTTCAACACAGCCAAATACCTGCTCTTATCACGATTCTCAGAAACCCAACTGTCATCATAGTGAGAATGAATGGAAGGGAAGAGGGGAAGGAAGACTACAAGACAGCACACACAAGAGAGCTCCCCTCTTTATTTGCTTCCCTTACTATGTATACAAGGTATAGCTCCCACAGGGTAAGGAAGGTGCATACATTTAAAACAAACCAACCGAACTACAACAACGAAAAACAACCAGCCAAAAAAACACAAACAAACAAAAAGATACCTAGGACATACCTCTCGAATTACTAGCATAAGAGTTAATTGCAAGGGCAGGAAAGAACTTTATTGAAACTTGGTTTCAGTAGCATTTTAAGGCAAATCCTCTGATAGATGTCTCCAATGTGGAAGTTATTTTATTGTATGAATTTCATTCTACATCTATGAAGAGCACACAGACTGTTATTAGTGTTGTAACACCAGGGCACAGAATGACACCTCACCTTTAAAGGTGAATTTAAATATATCATACATCAAGAAACAGCAACCCAAAAATCTTTAACTGCAACCAAAAGAATATGAGAACAGTTGCATAGACCACACATCACATACAAAGTAATGTTTTATAGAAATCAAAATATTTTACTTCTTCTTCAACTTTTGTCCACTAGAAAATTTCATCAAGAGCAGCTGAAGTAGAGGGGAGCAGAAGCATCCTATTCTTATCAGTATCTCTATGTCATTATTCAGGGAGCAGGAAGACCTGTCAGGAAAGTTCAATTTTTTTATGCTACCCCATCACTTCTTCATCTAAAGCAACTGGATACAGTAAATTCAGTCACAGGACTATTTCTCTTGGCCTCTTCATCTCCCATTCTAATAAATGTTCACACCTCCTTCTTCCAGTTGCCGCATTGCTTTGGCAACCTTGATCTTAAAGATTGAATTCTCTGTGCACTTTTCTTTTGATTCTAAGTACTTTGCACATCAATAAGGCTCCCAAAGATGTATTCTTCTGATGTCATCTTTAATCAAGAGAGTATTTTTTCTCCCCCCAAAGGAAGATAGGGAAATCATGGCAGGCAGAAAGGAATGTGTCAAAGACTTCCATATTCAGGAATGATGCTATTAAAAGGTGGTAGCCCAGTCAGTTCTGAGGGAAAAGAGCAAAGAAACTGTTATCCTGCATGGTCTCTCTAAAAGAAAATAAAGATCTAGTACAGCAACTAAAAAGGTCGCATATAAAAAGAGAGCCACACCTGTTTAAGATAGTCTGTGATGACTTGGGCATCAGCTGAATCTCAAAACGATAGCCAAGCAAATCTTCTTGGAGGCTAAGGCTGCTAAGAGAAGCAGTCACACAGCCAAATCATCTTCCAAGATGAAGCAGACCTTGCCCTGATGTCTTGTCTCATCGACCCTTTCAGACAACATCCAGGGAACTAATGTGCAAACAGCACCACCATACAGGTCAGAAGTACTTCATCACTCCTAACATCAACTTGCACTATCAGAGAAAAGGATTTTTTTCCCTTCTGGGTTTTCTTTCCTTTCAAGAGGAGGCAGAATTTCTATAATGAGGATGGTGATACATTGCAAGAAACACCAAAGTGGATGTATTGGTGCCTAAACTATTTATTTTCTTGGGACTAAAGTCCTTGATCAATGTGATCCTACCTGTATTTATCATTCA